GCTGTTTCCAGCTCTCAGCGGCGGGAGCTTTCAGGGCTGTAACGCAAACCCCCCCCTCGTCCCCTCACACGCCTCCAGCCCCATACGCTGCCTGTGCCCTGACGCAGCGGGTCGGGCTGGGCCGGTGTCATCTGCTGTGTCACACGCAGCAGGACATGAAGCCTGGGAGAGGCAGGGGGAGGCAGACACAAAGCAAAACCCCGAGTGGGACTGATGCACGGGAAAAATACGGTGCTCGAGCAAGGAGCTGGGCAGCCCAAGGGAGCTAAAAGCTGCTTATGTCGGGACCAGGTGGTGTCTTGGCCATGCAGTGGGATGGACCCGGGGCCGGCCGGCCGGCGGAGCGCTGCCAACCTGCTCACGCCACAGCGAGCGATGGGGAAGGTTGCACCGGCCCGATTCTGCCACGGGAGAACACGCAGTGCACGGAAAACACATCCAGCCAGCTGACCAGAAACAAGCCTTTGATATTCCACATGCAATTCAGAAGATATTAAATGGGGCATCCGGAAACCAAGCAGGGACAACAGCAGGCTCTGGTTCTGCAGAAGCCGGTGGCAGCCTGGAGTCACCCCCCAGGAGCTGCATCGATGCCAGGGCCAGTGGAGCTGGTGGGGGGCAAAGCGAGAGTCCTGGGCGAGACAGGAGACCCAGAGCTTGTGCGTTTGGCTCAGCCCAAACCCGCGGGGTTGCACAGAGCAGGGTGGATGCGGCCAGCGCTGCAGGATCAGACCTGGATGAGAGCAATCGAGGGAAGCAGAACTCCAGCCCACATCCTTCCGCTGTGCCAGCCCAAAGCCCTCAGCGTGTCCTGCTGATGCTGGGGCTGTTTGAAACCTCAAACCAGCTGTGGCCGCAGCCCAGAGCATCTGGGCAGACAGACAATGGGCTGAATGAGAAAGGTTCGTTTGCAGCTCTCTGGTTTAGCTATTTCTCAAAATAAAGCAACAAGACAACAACTTCGGGAGTGTTTTCAGCCACACATTGAATCGCACAGGCCGGACCGATGAGCTGCTCGTGACCCAGATGCATGTTTAATGGGGCAGACCGTGCTGCTCCCACAGCTGAGGCAGGGCGAGCACCGCTCCCCAGCACCTCTCGGGCTGTCCCTACGTCCGTCTGTCCCCTGGAAGCGTAACCTGCCACGTTGGAGAAGCTCTGGCTGCAACGCTGCACCTCTGAGCTGCCCCGCGGAGCACAGCCAGCACGGCCCGTGATGGAGCTGGCCCTGCCCGGGGTCAGCAGCACAAAAATCAACCTGACCAGGCAGGGATGGATTTGAAAGGTTTTTGTTCGACGGCTCTGCAAAAGGACCATCGCCAGGTCTCAGTCCCTCCGCACCCTGCAAACGTGAGCTCCCCTAAACCTCGCCCTCGCAATGACAGCGAAGCATCGCTGCGAGAGCATTTCCCTTCCAGGAGGCATCTGGGCTGAGCAGCTCTGGGGCAGGAGCTGCTGGGCTGCGGGAACATGTGTGGCTGCAGATAAGCTGGCCAGTGTGACAGGAGGAAACGGGCTCAGAAGC